AATCTGCTTCGTTGCATCTTACTTAGCTTCGATGTTGTGGTCTAACGATCATGCTTAGATACATCGCCCGATGGTTCGTTGGTTTGTCGAATCACCGTGCCGAGCTGTGTTAAGGGACCTATAAGTAGTTTTATACGCCTACAGTTATAATATAAGCCACAAACTTTAATGCATCAAATGTAATTCCGTCATTTTGCCCTCTGAAGTAGACCTTCGGGCCACTGAGTATACATTTTTACACTGTGACTACGTTTTTAGTTTTCAACACTCCCGATGCTTATGCATTGGCCATTAAAAGTGCTTACGCACAGAAGTATATGTGCACAGCAGTCCATAGTCCATAGACAAAGAATAGCTACCCAAGAGGAAATAAATGGGAACATAAACCTATAAATGTCGAAGCATGTACGACCCAAGCGATATATAATATATTTACATATATAATCCTCAAATATATAAATTAAATGATAGAAGGGTTAATTTAACATAAAATTATGTTTGTACCAATGTTTTTTAGTAAATTTAAGACTCTTACATTTATTAAAAAAATTAAAGTTCGACAACAAGAATGATATATACGAATAATCTGTTTAGTAGTTTACATGTGACTATAAATTGTCATAATACATGCGATAATTAGAATCAGATATTATAACTCACTTTCTCCACCATGCATATATCTACTAAAGAAATAATCTATCTATTACAAAATATTCCAGAAATAAGACTAAACTTTGTATTAGACGGTTGGTTAATAGCTTATAGTTACAAGAACACTCAATTAAATGTACATTCTAATTACAAATCTGTGTCATAGTTATAAACCAATATGTGTACATACTCATTATGAAAGTGATAGGATGTACCAAGATAGAGATTCGTTGAAGATCACAAGCTTGAGTAATTTAGTTTAGATTTTTATATTATGTGTGTTAGTACTTTAAACTCAATTATATACACACATACACGTTTTGGCACACACACACATATATTATATAATATATATATATATATATATATATATATATATATATATATATATATATATATATATATATATATATATATATATATATATATATATAGAGCAGAAGAGAGAGAGAGAAGAGAGGAGAGAGAGAGAGAGAGAGATGAGAGAGAGAGATGTAATGGGTATCCTTGTCATCAGCGAGGGGATTTCCTCTATACGGCCTCTAAAATCACATGATTGAGCCGATATTATGGATGATCCGGCTCCGTTAAACTTGATCTACATATTCTAAAACCCCAACACACAAGTTTGGGGTGAATCCGTCGTCGTTTGACCCTCCATCGAGCCATGTGAAAAAGTTCTATTCATTCAAAACCGTTAAAATTGATAACGACGTGGATGAATGGTCAAACGACGATGGGTTCACCCAAACTTGGTGTGTTGGGTTTTTAGAATATGCAAATCAAAGTTTCAACGGAGCGGATCATCCACAATGTCGCCTAATCATGTGATTTTAGAGGCGTCATAGGAGGAAATCCCTCCTATGACAAGGATACCCATTAATCTTATATACTATATATATATATATATATATATATATATATATATATATATATATATATATATATATATATATATATTATATATATATATATATATATATATATATATATATATATTAAATATATATATATATATATATATATATATATATATATATATATATATATATATATATATATATATATATATATATATATATATATATATATATATATATATATATATATATACTATATATATATATATATATATATATATATAGTTATATATATATATAGTTATATATATATATACATATATGTTTTGGTTTACCTATATAGATATGAAACAATAGTTATATTCATATACACTTTCATGTTTCATATTCTATTGTATTTGGAAAATTATTGTGTTTTTGGTTTATAGACTTAACAACTATAAGTTTATACTTTTTACCACGTCTATAAAGTCATACAAGAAGTTTTAAAACATGGTTTAGCTAAAATATCAAAAACATGTATTTTGTATTTTTATGTTTTGGACTAGATTTGAAAAATGACTTTTATATTTGTGCTTATTATTCATATTACCTTAGTCAATTGCGTGAATATGTATGACTTTATAGACGTGGTAAAAAGAAACTTATAGTTGTTAAAGTCATACAAGTCATACAAGTTGTTAAAGTCATACAAGTCATACAAGTCAATTGCGTGAATATGTATGACTTCATATTGCATTAGTGTAAACTTATAGTTGTTAAAGTCATACAAGTCATACAAGAAGTTTTAAAACATGGTTTAGTCAATTACGTGAATATGTAGGACGTGGGGATCGAACTCCGTGAATATATCATTTGTTTGTGATTGCATTGGCACACTTTTATATTTGTGCTTATTATTCATATTGTCTTAGTCAATTGCTCATTGTTTATATTGCCCACTATCTAGTTTAGTTTGTTCACCCTTGTGTTAACTTGTATATCCTTACACATATATTGTTCATATCTCATTTGCTAGGGTATATTTGTTAATTAGTTTTTAATTTGACATAAACTGGATTAAATTAGTATAAACCCTATTCACCCCCTCTAGGGTTCTTTCCTAGTGGCATTAGGATGCTTTCAGACTTTTGACGGTCGATCGCATGTGGCGCGACGGTCGACCGTGAGACCTTGTAATGGATTTTATGTTTCGGTCGTTGGATCTGGTTGACCTCGATGGGTTCGACGGTCGACCGTGGGTCGGGTATGGGCCTGATTTTGATTTCCTGTTCTGGTTGGGTTTTGGTGTTTGATATAAATACAAATACGTTTTAGGGTTTCTTAAGGCTTGTTTAAGGGATATTTGGAGCACAGAAAAGATGTATTTTCTGAGCTATTTGTTTAGGGTTTATTTGAAGAGATTAAGAAATTTGTGGTGAGATTAGTTGGTTCCTTCGAGTGATTTGTAATCTCAGTTTGTACTCTTCTTCTCTATTTGTGAAAACCACATCCCCTTCTTGCCCCGTGGACGTAGGCAACTTGTCGAACCATGTTAAATCGTCTGTTTGTGTTTGTAGCATTAATTTGGTTGGTTTGACCTTCCCTCGTCATTAGTTTAATTTGGTTTCTCGAAGCACGTATTTTGGTTTGTGGCTTCCGCACGCACACAACAGGTCATACTAGCTACTAAGACGCATTTGTCACGTGTTGATTTAAATGAAAAGTCAATCGAGAGTTTACTAGAAAATTGAGCGTACTTCCTCTGTTGGTCGTGAATCCTCCGAGATCTTCAACACCACAAGAAAAACAACATAATTAACATAAACAGCTCCTCATCTTTCTGTCATTACCTACACAATCAACGATGAATAATATGTTATAGCCATCCTAATTTTCTAAGTTTGCTGTTTTTCACTAAAAAAGAATGAAAAAGCAGCGAATATAGCACCAAATTTTATATGATATGGAAATAAATGCAGCTACTAAAAACATTTAATATGCCATTATTTCATTGCCAACTAAGGCTTAAATACCTTTATTTCATACCCAATATATTTTTCTTGGTTTTGTGTGTAGGGGGTGGGGTGGGGGGGGGGGCCCGGGTTGGCGTTACGCTGTGGCGGGTCTGCGTTTGCTTGCTGTAGATAAGCCCAAGGAACGGAAAGGTAGCACGGAAATGCTCTTAACATTATTCCTTTAGGACAGGATTTATTCGCACTCATTAATTTGAAAAGCTACTTAGGTATTAGCGCGTTGCTCCTTCATAAGTACTTTTTTTTTCCAGAAAAGCCATCCCACTTTTAGGAATCTTCTCCCAAGACCAGTAACATGTATATTCAAATTTGCCGCGTCTTTTGACCGTTGGAGCGCGGTAATTACACTGTAGCAGTGTCTTTTTCGCGTAAACTCGCACAAAACCGCATTAGCCGCGTGTTAAATAGGAGAAGGCGAGGGAAAAAAATAATAGTATAACAGAGGAAAACTAAAATTTTGGTCTTTCTGAGGAATTTGTATTTTTGTACTTTAATTTATAAATTGATAGTGACAATCTGCCCCCACCACCTTTAGATCTATTTTTAGAGTGAATTATTGTTGAAAAAATGGACATGTTCATTCAAGGAAGAAAAGTAAGCGTATAAACAATCATACTTGCAAAATGCTAATCATATGGTTATTGACAAGCAGCATACATGTGAGGAAAATCAAGTATTATGATAGAAAAACATGTTATTAAAAATAAGAAAACACGGTTAGTTTCCCATCCAATTTCTAAAGGTAAATATAAAAATATCTAAGATATCTTCTCTCAAGTAAATAAATAAATAAATAATAATAAAATCAAATATATCAAGAAACACAAATTAATCTTCAGTATTCAATAAAATAACTAAAAAATGCACATTAATTTGAACTTTTTTGAGGTAATTGTTCAAAATTATTATCTTCAAGTAAATCTTTGCATCTTTAAGAAAGCATAGACCCTTTAATTATATCACACTGTGAGCAATATATTCAAGTTATTTCTTACTTCTTATGACATGTCAAATATTAATTATCATTACTAGTTAAGAATTAGTATTCCTATGGTTCTTAGTATAATATCAAACGTAAACAATCTTCTTTTTCTTGGAAGTAAATATATGAAATACTACCTTTTATATGTAAATAAGTTATGATCAAAATTTTCTATACATTACCATCGGGCATCAAAAATTTATACTGAATCACCATTTTAAACATGTGAGATATATACAACATTTAAGACTCTAACGTCTCCTTGCTTAGATAAAAAAGGGAAAAAAAATAATGTTAGGGCCAAAAATATACAATAATACTAATAGTAAAGGAGACAAAAATACCTTTAATAACCTTTATAGGATGTAATATTCACCAAAATTGTGTAAATTGTAGAACTTCACAAAATTAATTTTTTTATACTAGGACTCAAACGCATAAAAAACAGTGAAGTCATTTTCTTATATAATTTTTAATAATGGCCGTCTTCTCCCACTCTCTACCCCTCTAGGTTTTTTGTGGATCACAAGTCGTCGCTCCAAAGCTGTGGCTTTAATTCCTTCTCCCAAATCTCTTCATCTATCATTATTTCTCCCAACACGAAAAACCTAACCCTAGCCTTAAATTTTCCCAATCTTGCCTCTTTAATTTTCCCAGTAATTCATCAAATTTCCTTATTTAGAGAGGTCAGCTCATTAATACAGGGAGCCGAGCGATAAATTAGGATGCTATATTTGAAGCAGCCGAATGGGGATCTAGGGTTTCGGAGGCTGCTTGTGAAGTGATCCGTGGGTTTCGGATGCGCTGTTGATCTGCTGGACCCGAGCCCGTTAAGCTCGGGAGCGAGGTTTGGATCGGATCTAATGGAGGGAAATCGAGAGCTCGGGGATAGGAGCTTGTACCTGCAGAAATTTAGGCTCTATGAGACTCGATCGGTGATTAAAGTTGAACCTTTTGGAGTTAATTTTGTTCTTTTGTGTTGTTTCAGTTTGTGTGAAGTGATCATTGGATAATTATAAGGGCTTGTTCCTTTGTGTCCTTTTTCTTATTGTTGGATCTTTAATTAGTAGTGAAAAGGTACTTTTATAGGTTTTTCTGTTTAAAGTCCTTTTTTTTTCGTCTAATTCTCCTTTTTTGTCTTTTGTACCCTTTTTTTTTCCTCTCTTAATACCTGTTTCTCATCTTCTGAACTTATGGGAGACTAATTATTAGTGTTTGTCTCTTTGTCTGTCCTTGTTTCTGATTTTTAAAAGAAACGTTCTTCCTAAAATTTCTTATTTCTTATATAATTTATTTGTGAAAAAGAGAAACTTATTTCAAAAATTATCTTTCCCTTTTGGTAAAAAATACTTATATGTTTTTTTTCTTTCAAAAGATGATTTTTTTCTCTTTTGTATTTCAAATTCAAGAAACTGTATTTGTGTTTGTCTGTTAAAGCCAACTTATGAGTAATTACGCTGCATATTGTGTGCAGAATTTTTATATGATTGGAAGAGACAAGAGTAGAACAGTGTTTAGAGTGCTAAAGATTGATAGGGTTGAACCTTCAGAATTTAACATTTTTGAAGATTCAACCAACTACACGGAAAGTGATTGTTTTGATTTGTTGAAGAGAATACATGAAGGAAATAGGTTAAATGGTGGGCTAAAATTTGTCACAAAGTGCTACGGAATTGCAGGTAAGTTTCACTTCAGTTCTTCTCCTGAAATGCCTTGGTAGTATGGTGTCAGTTGCAAATATATAACCAAATATTACAATAAATGTTGACAAGTTCTCCTTTTCAGGGTTTGTTAAGTTCCTGGGACCTTATTACATGCTGCTCATTACGGAGAGAAGGAAAATTGGTGTAATATGCGGCCATACTGTGTACGCTGTCTCCAAAAGCAAAATGATTGCTCTCCCAAATCCTACAATACGACCCAATACGACATATTCTAAGGATGAGAACAGGTCTTTTGTCCATTCTGCATGTAAATAAAAGTGTAATGTTAATGGTACTTTTAGTGGAGACCACATTGTTTCTTATTCTCTGGATGGAGAAAGCGTTGCAGCATAGATATTTCTCCCGGTGTGTGCTATACTTCTCAAACAGCTGATATGAACATATGAGCTAATTAAAATTGTTCAACATCTTGATGCTTCTCTTGGTGCATGAGTGAATAAGTTACTTAGAGTTTTATTTATGTACAATCCTTTCACTAGCCAATTGTTGATTTTCTATCATGCTAGAGTGTTTTGGCAGCCTTTTGTTAGCGGTAGATGTGTTATCATTTATCAATGGTAGCACTAGATGCGTTTTTAATGAGCCAAGAGTTTGTAAGTATCACATGTCCTTGGCTCTTTTTTTTAATGAGAACCAAGAGTTTGTAAGTATCACATGTCCTTGGCTCTTTTTAGTTGAAAGCATCTATATTTATTTTTAGTTGATACAGTTCTTTGGAGCATAAATGCCAGATCGGTTACTTCTTTTGTACCGAGGCAAGCTTTATGCAGTTTTGAGGTTGTTATAAAATGTTCATTTGATACAAAGTCAAAGATAAAAATCTCAGGTTTCTTCTTTCTTTTTGCAGGAAAACTATTGATTCATTTATCATATTATTTTCCTTTTGACAAAGTTTTTCCTTTGCTTCAGGCATTTCCTCAATAAGTTCACATACTTCTCTTTTTCCCTGGTGGTATAGATACAAGAAGCTCCTATGCACAGTGGATCTTACAAAGGACTTCTTCTTCAGCTACTCATACCACATTATGTGTAGTCTCCAGAAGAACTTATGCAATGGGGACACCGGGCAAGTATATGAAACAATGTTTGTCTGGAATGAGTATTTGACACGAGGCATTCGGAGTCATCTCCAAAATACAATGTGGACAGTTGCATTGGTTTATGGATTTTTCAAACAAGTAAGTTCTCAGGAAGATGAATTATACCGTAATTAAGTGATGCCCTCTGTATATAGTTACATTCTGTAAACTGTTCAGATTTTAATGCCAGTTTATCTTTTTCCTTATAGGCATGATTGTATATTTATGTATGTACACACACACATACATATTATATATATATATATATACCTGTCTTTTCATACCCATCTCGGTGATCTACTAACTTTTATGCATATACTCATCCTTTATTGTCTTGTGCACTGACTTAATATTGGAGTAGTGAGCAGTTGTACAGGTGGTATGGATTCGGAGTAAGTCTTATAATGGTGGGGGAGGACAAATGAAATTAATTGTTTGTTTTCACAAGTTGTGCAGGCTGGCATGTGTGAACAAGTGAAAGCACCTTCAGCTTATTGCATATGTTCACTTTTTTAGAGGTTTGAAAGATTTTCTCCGTGGGCTATGCTTTTGGTGTTTAGTTATAGGTTTTTCAGTTGATTTCTAATAATGCTCACTTATAGAAGCTTTATTGGATGGTCTGTATGGAACTCTTTTTCAGCAAAGTATAGAAAATTCTCCAGTTCAGGTTAACAAATCTATCTGGAGCTCCTTGTGGTGTCAATACCGACCTGGTTGCTTGACTTAACATTTTGTTCTCCTGTAATGCACACTGTCATGTCTCCGGCTGACAAGCCAATGAAACCAGTGAATTAGAAGTAGTTGCTTCTTGTTTTGTGGCTTGTTATATTTATCCGTTGGATACTACACGATGATTTGTTATGCTTATCATTTTTGGTATTGACGTAATCATACCTTTAAGATGCTCGATCAATATGAAGGAATTATGTGTAGTATATTCTGCTCAGGCTCGGATATACTAGCTATATATATATATCTATATTATAGTATACTATACTCTATATACTATATAGTATATAATATATATATATATACTACTATATAGATATATATATATATATTACTATATATATATATATATATATATATATATACATAGATAGATAGATATAGATAGATATTTATCCATGTATGCTCTTGCCAAATTTTGGATTTTTGGTACATGCACACACTCATATATACATGTGTATATGTATGTATCCTATCAAGATTTTCTTTTATAGCTTTTAGATGAGGGGATAAAGTCATGATTTGTGTCCTACATGCAGGCCAAGCTAACAGTATCGGAGAAGGAGTTTTGTCTCACGCTCATTGCTAGACGCTCACGTCATTTTGCTGGAACCAGGTTTTACTTGTTTTTTGTATTTTATTCATAAATTTTCTGTCTAGTTTTATAACTGGAGATACTTGCCAGATTGGCAGTACCAGGTTGGAAGTGCATGTTATTCTTGTTCATTTTACTTGATCAGGTATTTGAAACGCGGTGTCAATGAAAAGGGAAGAGTAGCTAATGATGTTGAGACAGAACAAATTGTATTTGAAGATAATGCTGGAGGAATTCCTACTCAGATAAGCTCTGTTGTGCAACATCGGGGTTCTATCCCCCTCTTTTGGTCACAGGAGAGTTCATGGCGTAATATGAAACCGGATATAATCTGTAAGTTGCAAAAATGTGCAGTACTCTTCCCTAACATGTTGAATGCGTGTTTCTTCGAAATATATTTATCTCTTTACATCCTCTTCTTGCCTACTTCTCAGTGCACAAGGACCAAAATTATGAAGCAACCAGGCTTCACTTTGAGAATCTCGTAAAGAGATACGGTAACCCTATAATTGTTCTAAACTTGATTAAGGTAGGTTCCAATAAACTTCATTATATTCTTGATTTGTAAGAACAGTATCACATTTCCCCTTGGAACTTTGTGCTTCTATAAACTTTCATTGATGTTGCATTTCTAATATTGTTATTAATGTAATGTTAATTGATCATTTGTGTATTGCCTGTTATCAAAATTTATTCTGAACAGACACGTGAGAAGAAACCTCGAGAAACTATACTCCGTGCAGAATTTGCAAAAGCAATTGATTATATAAATAAAAGTTTACCTGAGGATAGTCGTATAAGGTTCTTGCATTGGGATCTTCATAAATATTCTCGGAGGTATGGAGCTTCCCACTCTCCAGTTCTCTTATGTTTCTATGTTCTTTGAGATTTAACAATGTTTAAATATGTACTAAATCACATTAAATAATTTTTTCCAGAAAAGCTACGAAAGTCCTAACTTTGTTAGGGAAAGTGGCAGCATATGCTTTAGATTTGACTGGTTTCTTTTATGTTCAAATGCCACCTGCTTCAAGACTTCAAGATGCTCTGACACGGCCTCTCCTAGTGTAAGAACTTTGTCTGTACTGCCATAAGTCAGATGCTCGCCATACTCTCCATTGGTTAATCTTTCTTCTTAAAATTCTTGTTTGTTATTTAAACTGCGTTTTCTTGAGTCATAACATGTGATCACTTTAATATAGCATGTTTTGCATCTTCTGAATGCAACAAAATGCTTCAGCTCTCCATATTACCATAAACTTAATCTTCAGCACTATCCAGTTGTTGTTGTGTTTATTTCACAAGCACTTTCTTATGATTTACCTAATATTTTTATTTTTTACTCCTATTTGTAATTGGAGTTGCAATCTAGCCTTTAATTATCTGTTACTGAAATAAATATATTTTTGGAATAAGGATTTTCTTGATATCTTACGTGCGCGCACACACATTCAAAAATCAACTTTTTGTTTGGACCTGCAGTAACAAAAAGGGGAAAGAAACATTTCTCTTTGGGAATCTTTTCTTTCTACATAGTAGGTAGTTCATGCTCGGTAGCAAACCAATCAATCTAGACTCACTGCAATATGCTCTAGAGTCCATATAAGAGCTCTTATGTGTGGCACATAATGATAACCATACAGATGCTTTTAATTCCTAAGACATAAAACTAACCATTTGTATGTATGTTGCCTATACATTTTTGAGTTGCCCTTGTGAATGAGGATATTTTATTTTTCATTTATGCTGATAAAATGATAATAGTAACCATCCTCACATATAGGAACATATATTTTTACTTTTCACCATGCTAATAACCCCTTTTCCACCAATCCCGACTGATGACACATCCTGAACAGACAATTTAAGTTTGTTGGCCAAACATAAGCTGTAGATTTTAGCATGTACTGCCTGCTTTAGTTTTTCTACTGGCATGTTTTGACATTTATGTGAGCTACTCAATAGCTTGATCATTATGACTGAGGATACTGGTTATTTATTTTCTTAAAAACTAGCAACAGAATGAACGTGACTTTATGCATATTAGGTAGTCACATGACCACACGTTCTTTTTTGTAAATAAACACCTAATTTGAGCCTATTCTTTAATAAATGATTTGGAATTTGAGGCTGAAGAAATCAGCACAGTGAGTTATTTGCTAATAGGTAGAGGAGTACATATTTGACTATTCCGTAAGCAGTTGGGCTGAAAGTTGGTAAACTATCACACACACATGATGCAGTACCACAAGCACACACTAGACTAACTTCATTCTCTGCCTTTTCTTTGAACTCCCTACATTTTTTGAGTATTCGTATTTTTATGTACATAGTTTTTGGTGTTTCTGTAACTCCACAATGTTGCCCAGTTTGGTTGACAGTGACTAGTATACTCTTCTTGTTATTATGAAATATTGGACTATCACTACAACGCAATTATTTACCTGTTATTTTCCTCTGAGATGATGCAGGAAGGACGCTGATCAGCAATCGCCTAACAATCACCACACTAGCACTCACAATTCTGTTGGATCCCAGGAAGATTCTATTAATAACTCTGATTTCTCTCTAAGTAGACACGCAGAAGATGAAATAGAAAATGATGGACATATTCTGAATAAACCGCTAAGAGTTCAGAATGGTGTCCTTAGAACAAATTGCATAGACTGTTTGGATCGAACAAATGTTGCCCAATATGCTTATGGTTTAACTGCTCTTGGCCATCAGCTTCATGCCTTGGGTTTTATCGATGACCAAAATATTGACCTGGATACTCCACTAGCTGATGAACTGATGTGCTTCTACGAGAGAATGGGTGACACACTTGCTTTCCAATATGGTGGTTCTGCTGCTCATAACAAGGTACTTTAAATCGATGTTAATATATCCTATACAAATGCCTATTTCTATAACTTTACGCATCATTTCGTCTTAAAATCATGGATGGTATCTTGAGTTGAATGTGAATGTCTCTTAACTGGAGTACTTATTAGCCATGCAGTTCCCAACTCTGATTATTATGCTTTAATGTAGGAGATTATGGATTGCAATAATAATTAGTTTTAGTAGTAAAACAAAAAGAGATGAATGATTGGCACGAATTGGAAACCGAAGAAGCAATAGTGGTTGCAATCCGCTGCAGATGAAGGAAATCTCACTATCCTATGATGACCAGTTTAAGACGTCCTTAAAACTAATTTGTTGTATCATGATTATCTCTTGTTTGCCTAATCTATAATGTTAAATAAATGCAGTTACACATTTTGATTTAAGCATTACATGATCTCTTCTTCCTAGATATTCTCTGAAAGGAGAGGCCAATGGAAGGCAGCAACACACTCTCAGGAGTTCTTACGGACACTTCAAAGATACTACAGCAATGCCTATATGGACGCTGAGAAACAGGATGCTATTAATGTGTAAGCTTATTACAACTTTATCATATGAGTTAGCTTTTTCCTTCATAGTGCTCGTTCCAGCTTCTGGTTTTATTGAAACAGTGGATGCATTGGGTTTGACTATTTAAAGATGCAGGTTTTTAGGGTACTATCAACCTCGACAGGGTAAGCCAGCCCTATGGGAGTTAGATTCAGACCAGCATTACAACATTGGCAGACGAGGTCATACCACTACTGAGGAAAATTCAAGGTATTTATATATTTGTGAAATTTCATGAACATTTTTCTCATATATCCTCTGAAATGATTATTTTCTGGCAAAAGTAAGCTACAGTATTGGCACAAAAAGATTTGTTCACATGACATATTTGAAATTAGCTTAGTGGTTAAGCGTTGGATACTCTTTTTTGGAACTTAGATAGTTGTCTCAAATTTCTCTGTAGGTATTCTGTTCAAAATGTATACAGAAACTTAGAAGTAGATTATGATGTCCATCTTGCTCATACTTAGACTCCTCTGGGATCCTTAAAGACCGATTTTAACATTTCTATGATGTATCACTGCCTTTCCTTTATAGATTCTAAAACGGAGATTATATTGGGAAATATTTGCATGAGGGCTTGCATGTATGGTGGCAATCAACACTGTAACTTGACAAAAGAAACAAGTAAAATAGTAAAATCATACATGAAAGTTTCATCTTGTCTTGTATTTAACATGCTGCCTTTATGCTTACAGGTCATTTATCAAAAGATCGATGTCAGATGGCAACATTCTATGTGAAGATAGCTCACCTATATCCAGGTATAACATTGGCGAAGCAACAATTTCAAACTCTATGTTGCGTGCAACAGTTCATCACAAAGGAGATGCACAGGGTTATTCTGATTCCACACCAGAAATTTTAACTTGTGAAAATGAAATATCTTATTCCAGGTTAGCTGTTTCTTCTTTTTAACATATGATAGGTATTAATGCTCTATTCATTATGCAGTTAATGCGCAACTAATCTTAATCTTAGTATGCAAAATAAGTTCCAATTTTTTGCCATCGTGCAAACCTCATCTGTATGGAAGAACTTTCTCCGTTTAATATATGATATCTGAAACAGATTCATTAAGGATCATAGGCTACATGTCTTTTACAGTACTGTCCGGGATTGTTTAGATCTACCATTTTTTTTGTTACTAGTAGCTTGAAGAATTCTAACATCGCACCCCTTGCATCTGTAGTCTACATGTTTGTCTCATCACAAAAGAAGAAAACAGAAAAAAAAGTCTACCACTTTGTGTAGCTGTATACCTATGACAACCATTTTTTATCAATGCATCTTCTGAAGCTGCAGATCCATTCTAAATGAAAGAACTTTTTGTCGATTAATCTTCTATTGATGCTACCTCCATTCCCGATGCATTCCAAAGTTTTACTTTATAAAAGATGTTTATCAAAAATTTCTGTCAGTTCTCCATCTTCTAAAAATTTAGGGCAGCATTTGTTTTTAATTTAAACTGGACCTGTTTTCAGTCAAAGGTCAGGATTGAACTTTATTCTGCTTTTCATCATATAGCTAGTGTCAGTTGTAGTTTCATATCATTGAAAGTTTCACTCAATTTATATTGTTGACATTAGTTGTCAATTATATCTTTTTGCAGGTGCAACCCAGTGATGTCTCGTAGGCACCTTCTTACAGATAGTGATGAGGTTAACTATTTCAATGAACTCAAGTTGGGTGTGTCTAATGTTTCCAACTTTTTGGACTTTGATTGGATTTCATCATCTGGGAACTCTTGTGAAGAGGAAAATTATGAGAGGTGATCTTTTTGTTCTGCTTGTTGACCATGAATATTTCTGCTACATATAGCTATATGTGTTGCTAGGGGTGGTAAACAAGCGAATTGAATCGAATACTGAGATGTTCGTATTTGTATTTGTCTAAAATTATCGAATTCGAACCCGAACTTGAATATCCATGTCTGGAGTTTTTCGAATTCAACTCGAATACTGGGTATTTGATAAATTTTCGTGAATATTCACGAATATTTATCAAATGTAAAAGTATATTCATTCTGCTAAAGAATTTAATTTGTAAATATTATTTAAATTCATAAATGACAATTATTTTTTTATAGTTATGATGTATATATATATATATATATATATATATATATATATATATATATATATATATATATATATATATATATATACATCATAACTATAAAAAAATAATTGTCATTTATGAATTTAAATAATATTTACAAATTAAATTCTTTAGCAGAATGAATATACTTTTACATTTGATAAATATTCGTGAATATTCACGAAATATATATATATAGGTATATATATAATTATAATTTAAGATTCTTTAAGGCTCTCAAAATTAGGATATAGAACTTAAGTAGATTATATAAGTGGATTGAAGATATAAATACAAATTATGAGTGCTCAAAATTTAAACGAATATTTGATAATGGTTAAATTCTATTCATTAATGAACTTGAATACTAAATATTATCTGTTTAATGTTAAATGAACGTCTGAATTGAATATGACCAAATAGTTAGTCAAACAATTAACAAACTATTTGCTAATTATTTGGTTCGTTACCACCCCTACTTGTTGCTTGATATAATGAGAGTTTTCTCCTCTTGCAAGGAGTTAATGTTTACAATTCCGCGTAACTACTTTGCCCTTTTTCTCTTGTGGCACTGTGGTTCCATATTTCCTGGAGTAGACTTCCTTTTTAAGTTTAAACTTACATATATATGTTCATTAGCTGGATAGCTTCACCTCATACTATCTGCGTCAATATGTATTCAAGAACCCTTTCTTCTAAATTATGTGGTTTACAATTTGAAGGGGTGGTCCAAACATTCCATATTGCTTCCATGTCTTAAAACATGTGTGAGGAGTGGATGTGAAGTCAGTTGATTTAGAGCTTTATTTACCGTCCCATATTTGCTTTCTAAAAGAAATTTTTTTGAAACCATTTGATATATGGGAAGGGGTATCCAAAATTCACAAAATTGTTATATACAATAGTTTATGACATGGACATCATGCGAGCTTGCTTGGATTTACTTACCTGTGGCAGAAATATGAATAAGAAAGGTTCTAGTAATTTCTAACGGTGTGTTAGCTATTTTGCTTTATTCAGTACCATTATTATTGCCAAATTGTTTTTTTCTATGTTACTTACTTTTTTATGTGTCTGTATTTGATGCACCATAAAAATTTTGTCCCGCAGGTCCTCACTTATCAACTCCCCAGTTGAGACTCTTTCCAGTGAAAATGTACCATGTTACACCCCTCCTGAAACAACCAGAGACCCAAGCGAGAATAGCATTGAGGTCATTTTCTTCTCAACCATCAATTGTTTTCATATTTTTTTATTTTCTAAAATGTTTCTTTTTTTACTTCATGGTCTCTCTCTTCTCCGAATCGTAGTGTTGAATCTTTTGTTCAAGTATCTGAGTATACACTTGGCTGAAATCAAGTAACTGACAACTGATCAGGTTGCTTGGATATATTAAACGTTCTTTAATTTTCACAGAAAGCTTCAGTTGTGGATAATTACAAATTAGTCCTTAAATTTAAACCGACTCGCACGCGTACACACACACACATACATCCTTGGTTTTCTATGAATTTTGAATTAATCTATATCTATCAATATATTCATTAATTTATACTAAAACACCAGCCTGTGGTTGCAGGAGTGACAGGTCGCAAATATTATAGCCTTTATTATCATCATTGTTATTATTATGTTGGAAGCATCATCTATTTTAGCAAATATTAAACTTGTCTTTTCAGCTAACCTTATATCATGAATCAACATCTTATATCAATTCTATCAAAAATTCATCAATTGGCCTATTAATATGCCACCTCACCTTCACACACTCCTCTCTTTCTGAAACACAGCCACCCAACCATCCCTCTTTCATTTTCTTGTTCGTTGCACGAGTAACGAACTAGTGTCATTCTATATTTCGAGCAAGTCTTGATGTTCGCAGAAGCCAACTATCATGTTCAAAATTAACTTCTAAATGTCCTTTTTAATCTGCCTCAGTCAAAATCAAAAGACCAGGCCTCCTTTCTCAAAGACGAAGTCTGTCTATGTGAAGTGTATAGCTAATTTACGTGGCTCAAAATGAATTCCCTGCTGCTATGTTCAAGTAAAAGCAGTGAGCAGCAGGCTCATCCTTTTCTATAAGATTATTTTACTTGGTACGACATCTGCAAACTTATATCTATTTCCTTCTTTTTTCACAGGGGAGGGAAACAACAGGCTCAGAACTATTCTACAGTGCAGAAAGAACTTCTGATCTTAGGAGGTTCTCGAGGAGCTTCATTGACTGGGTTTTGCATGGAGAGGCCTTGTGTTAATGAAATCAAAATGTACTTGGTCCCCATGTTAGTTCCGATCCATTGAATACAAGGGAGAAAAAGGGAGAGGATATTCATCTTAACCCTCACTTCGTCGGAGTTTTGTATAGTCCGTACCTATACATTCTTTCAGAGCGCAGCTCTGTTTATGGATAAAGCTGTAATTTCTTCACTTTGTAAATATACAGGTAGGCATTTAACATTTTTCCAGCTATTTATGGCCAATAATAGGTATTTGTCCTGATCTTTGGTATTTGTCTACTTTCATTTGAATTTCTATTCGACGGCTATAAATGCATATGAACATCCATACACTAAACAGGGTTTGATTATGATCACATTTTCATGCGTATGATATGGAGGTCTATTTCCGCTTGCACGGGTATCTGATTGGATCTACTTCGAGAAATGCTATGCTATCCAAATACTCGACTGTTTAGATATTTGAGTTCAAGGACAGGTCACGAACTAAGACTACCTTAGAATGGCATCTAGTGTGCTTTCCTTTCACTGTATTGATATGTTAATGTGACGAGAGCAAATCTTGTGTGAGATTTATCCACTTGCAACATTATCTGGGTTATTTATGTTCACATACGACCTTGAGCTATTTTTACCAAAAAAAAGAAAAAAAAGAAAAGGCTTCGTTGAACATGATAATATCAAGGACATGCTCGCATCCACTGCATGAAACAAATTGCAGCATGGCAACGACTGTCGATTTTGTATTTACTATGTTTACTGTAAATGTCAACATTGTAAACCTCTTCTGCTACATTAGTTGCATAAAATTAAAAAAAAAAAAAGCCAATGTGGCAAGACTTGTGTTTCTCTTTAATCGTCTTACACAGTGACATGAGTCGTTTCGATGATGTTCGCCACAAGCCAATGAGCCTGCCTTGTTGTAGCTGAGACCTGAATTCGTGTTATCCAATGATCTTGGATCCAAAATGCTTATCAGCGTCGGCTGCAAGGGGCAAAGTGATGCCCAGCACGTACAATCAAACTGCCTTATAAATTAGCACCTGATGAAGAGATGTAAAATATAAATAAATGAAAAAATACGTTAAAAATAGAGGTGTTGGAACAACACTTACAAACTCAACAGCGCCGCAACACCATCAACATTTGTTGTTTCAACTCCTAACCAAACACACCCTAAAGCGCAATGAAAACTTATCTTCGCTATTTCAAGCAGAAACACAGTTAACCTGCAGTCGTTTTCAAGGAGACAATAGTAGTACTAAGCAAACCAACAAAAATAATACGAAGCAAAGCCGCGGACGATTAGCATAGATCAAATAAAGAGCTGTCAAAGCCCTTCAGTAGGGGCTCTTCCTTTTTTTTTCAGGGCTCTCTTTGTAGCAGGCTATAATTGTTTCTCAGAAATGGGTACTTCTCCGCTTTATTTTACCCTATGGGAGAAGAGCGACGTAAAACAAACCAAAGAACATGCAGAAAATGGAAGAGAAAAAATAGAAATG